AATATATTGATAAAATGCATAATACGTGCATTTAATTTAATATTTATTCATCTGTTTACATAACTTCCAAACTTGATTGCTTTTAAGAAATAAGAAATACGGTATAATTTTGTAAAATCGGGTTTAATTTCAATATTTTTTGCAGGCAGCAAACTATAAATTATCTTAGCATAGAATTAACAATTATAGCGCACTTTTAAAAAAGACTATGTACAGCAGTAGAGACAGTCGTTGACACTTTATTCAGTAATTAAATTTTATTAATTATTATAGTTCATCAATTTACGCAGCGTACGCCATGGAAGCTCTCAGGAGGTACAATATTTTCTCGATACAATCGGAAAATATCATCGTAACATTAGGTAATCTGCAAATAAGTATTCAATAAGTTATCCATCTAAACCTACCAAATACCGAATGGAAATACCTACAGTAGTTTTGGAGGACTTTAGTTTATAATAAGTGTGTTATTTATGAATGTAAACATGTAACTCTATTTCCCAAAGAATAGACTACCGGCCGTAGAGATTTTGACGCGAATGCGTCTTTAATTTTTTTGAAGTGAAAACTTCTTTAGCGGCGTTGTACACTTTTTTTTGTAATGGGTAAAAAATGTTAAACTCGCGTCAGGGCACGTGACCTGATCGAAAATGCGTAAGACGGACGGCGTAGGAGAGGAAGTATCCCCCTCTCTTTCTACGGCGCGGCGAAAATGTATGCTTGCGCCTACTGTTTCGTTTAGGCGGCGCAGGGTGCTTGCGCTGCGCGCGCGAATGTAATATAAATTTTCATGTTTGTGTAGGTACGATAGCTCAATAAATAAATATTGTCTTCTACCACATAAATGATAGTACTTATGTACTGATAATTAAAGCAATTTGTGCAAAATTATTCTCTAACCATTCCAAAATATCAAAAATGCACAACGTTAATATTTAAGTTTTCACTTCTGCCGGCACTCCCAGAGTGCAACCCGTCGTTTTTTTCATAGTAGGGGGCATTGCAAAACTGATGATAACAAAATTGGGGGATATAGTCTGGTGTTGCCGCTACATATCTCTCATCTGCATCCAAAATTTAATTACACCCCCACCCCCCATAGCTAGAATTCATTATGTTGAGTTAGGAATGTGACGCATCATGCGGGGCAGAGGGGGGAGCGTCGCCATTTTGATGTAGTTTCGTAGACATATTCACGTAACACACACACGGCCGTGTCCACGATACAGTCACACGACGATTTGTTTTTAGTTTCTATGGTAGCAAAATCGAGTAAATTTATTCCGATATACAATCTTAAAGTATTTGAAATCAATCTAAAAGTATGAAACAAACTATTTTTATAATCAGTGGATTATATATAAAAAAATCTCTGTAAGTGCGACATTCTTACAAAACAAACCAATAGAAATTATTCATATTATATAGATTATGGTTAAATGACACGTAATATAAATAAAATTTTCATATAGGGTTGTAAATATTATGCAAGAGATTACATACCTACGGTAGGCATTTTCAACATTATTTGAGTTGGATAAGGGCGACATGTCTGTCAGTGGGAAAGGAAAATAACTAAGCAAAGAAAAGACTGCAACTATTAAAACAAAAGTTAAGGTACTTAATATAATGTTATAAGGTGCACAATCGACGACTCGAAAGCGTCTATCAAAAGCACATAAATTGCAAGTGAGCGCTCATTCCATTTATTGTGCTTTTTTCGGTGGGAGGATTGTCAAAACAAAAATTTGGACTGAATTAACCGTGAAGTGACGGAGTAAGAATACCCACTGCCCCATATCGTCCCGAGGGAGTCGTAAGAGACGACAGAGGGAAACAAATCAAGAGAGGGACACGAAAAAGGGAGATAATTGTCATAGTTATCTATGACAAATATCTCCCCTTTGAGCCAATCTAAAAATATTTAAACATTTATCATGTCAATTAGACCAAACACGACATTTTATCCATCTAGTAAATTGTTTCTTTTTTATAATTTAACGACTGATGTTTAAAAACGAATACAATATAATGGTCTTTTTCATTCACATCAGTTTTGATTTTGTCAGTTTTTGCACATACTTAATTTATAGGTACTACTTTCTCGGATATTTACGTTTTTGACAAAAAATAATACAGGACTGACTTCTTATTCTTATTATTTATTATATCAATAGAAATTAATAAAAATTGTAAATACAAAACTAACACAACGGTTTGCAAATGTATTTTATACAATCGCGTTTACGCAAACATTTTTAGCATAATATAATTCAAGAAAAACTATCCGGTAAATTGACATTAACAGCACCATAACTTGAATTACATTCTGGAAGTTTTTCTTCATTCACTCGCGTTTCAAAAAGAATTAATAACAGAATATCTAATAGTACTAACGAAACTTAATATTAATTTTCAAGAAACACAAATCTTTTCTGTATTTAAATGAAAATATTAATATTAGTGAAATTGAGTGAAATATGAAAGCGACAAAGCATGTTTTGATTTCTCTGATCATATTTATATAGATATTAGAGAAGGCAGCTGTAATTATTTTAACGTCACTTCATAGTAATACAATCAATTTCAAAATGACGTCCTATCATCTAAAATATAACTCTTTTCTAAACACTTCAATGGTATAATTTTAACATTGAACAAGTAGGTAGACTAAAATCATAGTTTTAAGACCTTATAGTTGTCAAACGCTTTTGATGTCGAGCGATAGGTACCTCCGCCCGCGTTGGTATATATACGCGGCACCGTGTATGCGAGGGGTTGTCAAATAAAATGATTTAGGATATTATAATACTCATTATCATTTATTAACATTATGTACATACTTAAAATTTAAAAAAGTTTATTGAACAAGATATTTTTATTACTACAAGAAAAATACACTTACAAGTGTTGCTCTGCCAAATATTTTCGTAACACTATCTTTTCCAAGATGTTTTCAATTTTCGATTGTTAAATTTAATTATGTAGCATGTAAGTACTGGAATTCGGATAAAGAATTTTATCAACAAAAAAATATGAAGGAAACAAGCATGGCATCATTCAATTTTATTTAGTAACACATATAATTATAACAGTAATTCACGATTCTAGATATTATATATTTCGAAAACGGCACTTAAAATTAGTTAAATAAATACTATAAAACACGCTCGCGCCAACCGCATGTATTGTCTATCAGACTCGTGAAGTGCGATATTATAAAGTCGTCCCGCCCCCTGCCCCGCAATGCCCCTACCGTTGCTCTGCACCAGCACATTCGTTTCCCAACTGTAAGGTCTTTCAGCTGTGGTATAATCTATAAAATAATATTTCCGAAATTTAAAAAATACTATGTATTTTAATATTTATTATTAACCCTATCAGATAGGGTTACAAATGCAAAATTTTAAAAGAAAAGTTTTAATTATTTTTAATCTTTGAGAAGTATGTGTCACGCTAGAGTACGCTGCAGCTATATACAGCTACGAATAGGTCGACGCGAATGGAGAAAGATTACGCTATCACAGAATACTAGCGTGAAACAGCAGAGTAATGTTGTATTTTGTTTGGTGAATGCAGAAAACCGGAGACCGTTTTAACCGGTAACGACGCATTCCATCTTAGCTGCCAGATGTAGGTGTGTATGGACCACAACATCCATTTACCATCAGGTGGTCTGTGTGCTTGTCTGTCACTTTTATTCTTTAAAAAAATGAAAAAGTTTGACGCAATCATCATTGCTCTATCGATTTTTTTATTCTATATTATTTAACAAGCAATTAATATACAGATATTTTAAACGTCCTTTAAAAAATCTATACGTAGATTTTTATAATTCTATATGTAGAATTTTATAATTCTATATGTAGAGTTTTATAATTCTATATGTAGATTTTTTAAATCTTAGATTATACTTGAATACCGGTGGGTCGTTATGTTATAACTATTCGTTCACCGTAAAGTGGCGGTGTAAACATGTCCACTACCCGATATCGCCTCGTGGTTGTCACAACAAGCGACAGGGGGGCAATAAGACACGATATATGCAGCAGTATCGTCCTAATAACAACTTAAAATAATAAAAAAAACTGCAGTTGCCAACCCACTCACCAAGTACGGTATCTAACAAGTATTGTAACATGGTAAGCTGAAGTAGCAATGGCCCGGCCATATAGCTCGAAAAACCGACAACCGATGAAGAAAAGAGCTTCTCGAGTGGCAGCCTCTTACCCGTAGGTGAATTGTAAGGCGACCCCCCACTAGATGGAGTGACGACCTGGTAAGACTCAGGACCGTGTTTTGTGGCATTCCTTACAGTACGCTTGCACTGAGAAACATCCAACACGTAATGTTTTGAAACAAATCGCATAAAATAAATCACACAACATGTTTTGTAAATGGTGGCGTTCGCGCTCACAAAAACTGTGTAAAATTTTCGACAGATATTCAAACTTATCTGTCAACATGACAATATTTCTACAAATTTGTTTTTAAACATTTTGTATCTGTAGTTATAAAGATATAATATAGTTAAAATATGTAATGTACGTTAAACAGTCAAACATATTTCATTACAACATGTTTTTTGACTATGCAAACGCTTTTTGATACATTGATAGAAAACAGTGTTTAAAACATTTTTTTTTGTGAAAATCGCGTCAGTGCAAACGGTTAGGGGACGCCTATGTTAAACAGTGGACTTGTAAAGGCTTTAATGATGATCATAATGTTGATCTGTTTATTTGATGGACTATAGAAAAAGCTTCACACTTAACTCTTCATATTTTAAAAAAAAATTATCTCCTAAAAACCACAATACTGTTGTCATATATCGCCTAATGACATAACATAGAAACATTTACTATAGAAAACTATAAAAAACATTTAATCTCGAAAATAGGCTCTTTTTTAACAGACATATAGAGCATATTCGCGTGCACACTTACACGTTGATAAACTGCAATATAGTATATATACAACTGTAGTCCAAATTAATAGTTCTAAGAGCAGAAAGGCTTTCTGCAGACGAAGAAAACTGAGTCATACTCAAGCTGCATCATCGAATTCGGATTCTGTGCGTATTTAGTCTTCACGCCCGTACGTTCTTCCTGCAATATTATGATTTGTTACTATTCTATTGAATTATCTAAGGATATCATATCACGTCTCATGTTACTTTCCTCTACAAGCGTTTGACACCAGTTTCATTATTCATAACACCGACAAGTTTTAATTAAGTTTTAAACACACATTTTATTAAGTTTTTAACACTTTGCTTACTATCTATAAAAACTAACACGGGTAACTAAAGGATCAGAGAGGAGTAGCCATAGCATTATTCCTTTATACAGAACTGTATGTCAATTTATGCGAGGGAAAATCTGCGCTAACAAGGACAATTGGGCTTGTCTGTAACAAGTGACGTTTGCGGCAGCTTAGGTAGGGTTGAAGTGGAAGGAGACGAAGACTTTTTCCTATATTACTTTTATTTTCTAACTTACAAGTTAACTTAGCTACTGTGACAATGTGAGTACACAAGAATAATAAATAGACTATTCAACTTAAATACTGCTGGGCTATCCCAACAATTAAGCCTTGGTTTTTATACTATGTTGAATATTCGTAAGTCACGTAAGTAAATTGAGTCACGTCTTTGAAGATGTGCTGTTTTTTGGTGCGGCGGTGCTGTATGGTAAATAACTTCCTGATGGCTTGTAAGGTCTAGGTAGGCATATTTACACTACAAAACTCACAATGGCATAACAATTAAAACAATAAAATAACAATTTCACACACGTAGATTATAACAGTATCGCTCAGTGACACGCACAGAGACAACTCGAATACAGACTCGGCTCGACTGATCTGCATATCGTATGAGAGCGAGCGGCCGGTACACAAATTCGAAACAATAAATATTGTTATTGTAATTTTTAAGTTTAAAAAGAAGTAAATAGCAATAATAAGATTAAACTTATTTATGAATTAACTTATTTATGAAAGGTAACACCATCTTTTTGTGACGAAAAAAAACTGAATAATGCGGCATTTTTGTATATTTAGTAGGATGTAGATTTAGTCTAGTCAGCAGTACGGCTGCAACTAGTTTTATTGTACGCATAGGATATTATACTGCGTGGACGTGTATTTTAACACAGAGGAACGCCTGCGTATGGTTACTCCCGTCTGATCTGCCGGTGTCATAGAATACTATAATGCACAATAGAATGGCTGTCAACCTTATTTTGTATCGAGGTTCGCCGTCGTCGCCGGGATCACACATACAAGCAATTACGTCGTATTATCAGTTAATCACTACTACAAACCCGATTCGCTGTGTTGACAGACGGATTTTAATACATATTTATTTGTGAATAGCGTGCAATTTGGCATTTTCTAAATAATTTGCATGTGAAATTTGGAAACGATTGTAACGTCAAAACACATTTCGTGTTGACATTTATACGTGAAAATTGACGTCTTAGTGGCTACACGAGCTCCGCCCACTCCCCCATTCTAATATATGTATTACAGTATTCTATGGCCGGTGTCCAGTGTTGCTCTATGCTATATATTGTAAATAAAATCATTTAAAAAGTGTATTTTACTTTGGTTCCTACAACCTTGTATTTTATATTTGGTTTATTTCTAAGATGGTTTTTCTCTGATGATAACCCGTATCTGAAGCTAATAATCAAAACGCTAAATAAGACATTCTCTGTATTAGAAATGAAACGTAAAACTCTAAAATCATTATTGTACATTTTATCTCAAAATGGTTTCAATTTGTCAGTCACATAGTTCGAAGAACCAACAGCTAATTAGAGTCTAAGAGCTGGCTACATAAAGAATGTCCGCAATCAGGTACCTCGACACTGATGATTTGTATTAAAAATGAAATCTTTGGTGAAGCCGAACATAAGTTTGTCTGTCTGCCATCGCGAAGCTGGGGCATAAAACTGGGGTGTGCGGTTAAACATGTTACAACAACAAATTTAGGAGCGATAAAATTTATAAGGCCCCACTTCTCTGTCTACCATTTGGTACATTGTTTTCTTTTCTTTTTAATTATTAAAATAAAAAAATTGGTTGACCCTGCAGGCCATCTCTGGAACATTTCAAATCATCATCTCATTTCAAATGCAAAGCGCTCCAAATTAACTAAATTATGTTGCAAAATCTCGAAGTTATGTTAAAACAACATTTTTTTCGAATTCTTTCTCCTTCTAAATCTCACACGAACGAATGAACCGATTTTTATTTTCCAAACGGCATTCGACGTCATTTTTTGAAGTTAAGAGCTGATTAGTTTTTGAAATCGATCGGTAAAGCCGTTTAAAAGTTATACCAAAAAAACAGTTTTTCAAAATTTTTATTTTTGAGATTTCTCAAAATCTACTCATCCGAATGAGTTCATATTAACACCAAATCTATTCCACATTGAGATCTTTAAAACGCCGCAAACCGCATCAATCGGTCAAGACGTTCAAAAGTTATGAAAGGTTTACACACACACACGCACACGCACGCACGCACGCACGCACGCACGCACGCCGCACACGCACACGCGCACACACACACGCGCGCGCGCTCGCACACGCGCGCTCTCATACAAACATCCGTACGGACATCCACGTGAAATTAGTCAGAATAGCTTCCTGGGATCTCAAAACGTCGGGATCTGAGGAAAACTCGATTTTCGAAAATCGGGATAAAACCAATGACTTCCATATGTTTGTAAATTTTCAATTTTCTTATCGGGAAGTTAATAATTTAAATTCATGTAATTCGTCGTTTTTTATTAACAACTTTTGGCGCACTCTGGCGGCACGTAAGCCCCTAGCAAAAGTATGCCAACAGCTTTCCTCGTCTCTTCAATATAAATAAAAGATTTTTCCATAATTTCAATGCGTGTAGCTTATAAATTTCTTCGCCGCTAAACTTGTCATGTAAAACGTTCGGTTACACCAAAGGTTTCTTTTTTAATACCTACAAAAGAACCGCATACCCGATGCGAACATTTTTTATGTTGCCAGCTCTCCGTCTATTAATAAAAAAGGTTTTTCGAGATGCAATTTCAAAGTGGCAAGTGTATTGTGCCTATCACTAGATAAAGATGAACCATGGAGTAAGACAATGTATGCATGTGGTTCACTGAGTATTATGCTTTGTGGAAGTCTTCAAGAAAACAAAGACTTGTGATGGGCTGTGATAATGACTCAAGTGGTTTCAGATTTTTATGAATTCTAAAATCTATGCAAAAAGTTGTGAACAACGATTGTAAGTAATCATATTACAAAAAAAAATTAATTTCAGAATTCTAAGTTTTTCTTAACTTTATTCTAAATTCGCTATAAACAAGTGACATTTAAAAATAATAAGTTTTGCGTAAATACTAAATATAAAGCAATTTTCAATTTGAATTTTTTTTTAATTCTTTATTAATGAGCTTATTCACAATATGAATATGTCGCTCCGTTAATTCATCACCAAAAAAAAACAATTACATTAGGTATACTTAAACTTATTACATTATAAAGTTCTCAAATCAATAATTAATTACAGAAAGTTGAAGAAGATATGCATTTAGTTACAAAAAGTAACATGAAAAGTTCCCAGATCAATCACATTGAGAAGTGAGTGATCGATCCGAGAACTTCACCTTGTAAAGTTTGACTAACATTTTTATATCGTCAGAATGTGGCTTAGCTATAATTATATTACAATCAGCGAAATCTTTTAAAACGTGGTGGCATTTATCAATACGAAAGGTAGCGTTGTGGGCACAATTTGAATTTGAAACCACATTGAATGTTTATATTATAATCCACTAAACAGTTATTTATATGGCGGTACTTACCAATATATCGAAACCAACATCCCTAATAATGTCCAGTAAAATGTCATAAGGTGGCTCTATACTATTTTCTGTTGGCATATCACTGAAATAAAAAAACAAAAACATTTACTACATGTATGTATGTACAATTATATCCACAGCAGAATATTTAGAAACATATCATTGTTTGAGGAATGAATGTGATTAACACGAAACTACACTAAAATCGTATTTTTAATTAAACGAAGCTGCCTGACAGATGCTAATGTGACTTGGCGATGGTAATGGGCGTGGCAATGGGCCGGCCATATAGCTCGAAGAACCGATAACTGATGGAGAAAAAAGGGTTCTCGAGTGGCAGCTTCGTATCGGTAGGCGTAGTGTATGGCGACTCCCCACTAGATGGAGTGACGACCCGGTAAGACATGCAGGAAGTCGATGGATGCAGGTGGCTCAGGACCGTGCTTTGTGGCATTACTTGGGGGAGGCCTAGGTTCAGCAGTAGACTTGTAAAGGGCTGTAATGATGATGATGATGCATGCTTAGTGCTTACTGAACCATAGCAATTCTATACACCTGTAAATTCTTATTATAATGAAGACAGTTGTGAGGATAAGTTTAACTCACCTGTAATGATATAGGAGTGGTCCCAAGTTGACCCAGAATCCTCCCGGCATCAAGATGGTATATATCCGCTCGATGAACTCGATAACATTAGGTGCACAGTCTATAAAGAAGCAAGTTGCCACACAATTCCACTCGTCTGGTTCTGTGTAAACCTATGAGGTTAAATTATATTATTAAATTGTTTTAATATATAATTATAAAAGTAATTTTACTTGGTAGAGCCATGCTGCAGCTATTTTATAGTTGTAGCACGAATGGGTCGGCTCGACTAGGGCAGGACCACGCTCTCACAGAATACCAGCGTAATGCTGCTGTGTTTCGTATGGTGAGTGTAGGGAACTGGAGACCCGTTTTACTGAAATTGAGGCCTTCCATCTTAGTCCTCAGGGGTGACAACGCATTTGAATTTTGATTCTTAATTAAGGATAAATGTGGATGTCTACGGGCCACAGCATCCACTTACCATCAGGTGGACTGTGTGCTCATTTGTAACCCAATGCTATAAAAAAATCTTTATGCACTACTGACAGGTAATAGATTTTGATATTGGGCATAAAATTTGCATTATGGTGGCGACCTTAGAGAGCCTATTCTCATCATACCAAAAGCAATTTACTGCTGTCCATCGTAGTAAGGCGGATTTGCTGTGACCATCGAAGACAATATCTTTCTGGCATTTTCCATTGCCAATTCTTACACTTATAAGAATAAGAATAAATTTACTTAAAAACTAATAAAATGACTGCTTTGTATATACATATATGTAGTGCATATACTGTAAATTGACTTTGCAAGTTCAGTTGCTATCCCTAAGCAGTGGCTTCAACAGACGCGTTCATCAAATATGTACATAAGTTGTAATAAAACTACCTTCGATAACACGTTCTACGCAGCGCTTGCAAAACACACCGCACCCGCTATCTCGTTTACATTTATACAATTTTCTATATGTATACTAGAAACAAAGAAGGTACTCTGAAGTTCTTACTACAATTTTGAGAACACTTCCAGAGTGCTGTGAATTCAAATGACCAAATAGAAATCGAAGGTAATAATAATACTTATGGGGCGATATAGCTTGACATTATATTTTTATACCATTTTTTTATTTATTACAGCCTATCAAATGTCTTTTGCTGAGGGGTGATAGAATGACGTAATAATACCTTACGCCGTCACCACACGGTGGAAATAACTTTTTTCATTCGTTCAATCATTTATGACAGCCTGTCAAGTCAAATGTTGAACAAAGTCCCATAGAAACAACTTTAATTTAATTATAGAAAATAAATCCTTCGATCAAAAAGCAAAACACAAAATCCTATCATACTTTACATACTTAAGGCAAAGAATATATACACTACGCGAAAAGAAACGACACTTAAGCATGTGTGCACGTAAAATCGCTTGCGGCTATGTGTGGGTGTCTGGATGTGTGCGGGGGCCTTGAGAGGCGCGCGGGGCGTGGAACGGGAAGTCTCCGACTGCCCTAGTCGAGGGCTAGTAGTAATACCGATATTTGTCAGTATTAGTTAAGATATAATATTTCAATTAATATATGATTATTACTGATAACTTAATGTACATATTACTATTCTATTCATGTAGGTATTAAGTTTATGTTACCAAGTAACGTTATTTGTTTTTATAGCCGTGTATGCTAGGTTTATATGTTTTGATAAATATAATGTTGTTATTAAATAAATGATATTATAGTATATGTATAAGTATTACTGAAAGTGATTTTAAGTGATTAGAATTAAAATAAATTCCACTGCACAAAACAAGGGTCCTTGTTTTGTTAGTTTAATTTTTAATAATGTTTTATGATACCTAAAAATATCTGAACTCATTTTAACGAAAGTCGATATAATCTTAACAAGAATTATGGGGAAATACCATGACGATAAAACTAATATGTCGCCAATAATTTTATTATATTACATTAACTAAAATATACACTATTAAAAATACCACTAGAGAGTCAAGAAATTTTAGATATCTATAAAGAGTTTTTGTATTTGTTCATTGTTGTATTTATGGATTATTTCATTAGAAATAGAAACGACTTATCTCCTCAACACATAGGGAACAATTTGTTGGCCGCCATGTCCCAGGAAACCTGCATACCTTTGGATTTTCTAAAAAAAATTTACATGCTACGAATTTTTGCAATTGTTAGAAATAATAATGAGAATTAAAAAATTATTCGAAAAATTCAAAAATATATAAGAGTAAATTATTTTTAAAGGATAGTGGGTAATACTGATTATTGCGTACTGAAATAAGTGTTGGTTAATTATTTAAGATTACCATTAACTGTCGTGCATATTTGGTTTTGTCGGAAGTTTTAATATCCCTCATTTAATAAAAGTTGATTTAAAATTGAATGTATCTTTCACTACCCAAATACATAAGTTTACATAACATATAACACATACCTACTATGTATCTTCTTTGGTACAAGTCTATAATATTCCATTTCGGTTCGATATCAACCCTAGCGTTACACGCTTCGACTCAAGGTCACCGGCGCTTAAGCTCTCACGTACAGGGAGTGTCACCGCTGTGCTTAAGGTAAGGTTTTGTTCATTGAAGGCTGTTTTCTTTACTTAGATGTAATTAAAAATTGTTTCTAATCCATGTGGGAAGCTCTGATGTTTTATATGCCATAATAATTGAATGGAAAATGTTAGAGGAGGCCTATGCCAAGAGGCAAACTGAACTTCGGGACATTTTATAAAAAACAAAAAAAAGAAATACAACATATATTATTTATGTACCTATTTAAGTTCAGATTAAAAGGGCTAATTATTATGGGGTATCTATATAGTTTTCTCATCTGGTTGGGTTCTATAAATATATAATTATAAATGAAAATGAAAAAATAAATATACATAAATATCAATATGAAAAATAAATATAAAAGTACATAAATAAATAAAAGCCCAACCAGATGGAGGCCCTCGGCAGGGGAGACCAAACGGCCGAGGGTTAGGGGGAAAGGGAAAGAAACCGGCGGACGATGCGGGCGGTATCGAGGAGCACCGCCTTCTGCATTTGAACCTGGAGCGGTCCGCCATGTAGTCCCAGCCGCCTCAGATGACCCGAGAGGCTGACTGGGATTAGCCCGTTTGCAGAGACGACTACAGGAATAATTTCGGTCGGCAGACCACCCCACATGTCGGTCACCTCGTGAGCCAGGTCCAGATATTTTGTTTGCTTGTCTGTTTCGGCTTTCACGAGGTTCTCGTCATACGGAATGGTAATGTCGACCAAAAATATTCTAGACTGTGCCCGGTCCATCAGCACAACATCAGGCTTATTCGCAAGAATAGTCCTGTCTGTGATGATGGCCCGGTCCCAATAGAGCCTGGCGCGATCATTTTGGAGCCCGGCTTCCGGCAAGTACTTGTAGTACGGCAATTTCCGGTCCACGAGACCGTATTTCAGAGCGAGCTCCTGGTGTAGAATTCTGGCTACTAGGTTGTGCCTGTGCAAGTACTCAGAGTTAGAAAGCGCCGAACAACCGGAGATAACATGCCTAAGTGACTCACCGGGATGGCGACAAGCTCGACAGATGTCGACGGTGCCATCCTTTAGGATGTATCTCCGATAGTTGTTGGTCTTAATAACCTGATCCTGTATTGCACAGACAAAACCCTCGGTTTCCCCGAAGAGATCACCAAAGCGTAGCCAGTGGAGGGAGGCTACTGTGTCTACGAAAGGCTCATGTAGAGCCTTGTAGAACCTCCCGTGGAGCTCCTTCTCCTTCCATACGGTCTCTCGGTCGGAAATGCACTGCACTGCCGGGTCTTGCCATTGCTCGTTGGCTAAAGATAGAGGGGTAAGTCCTTTATCACAAGAAATGACGTCCTTATAGAATGGATCATCCAATCTCGCCAGGAAGTAATCACGGAGGCTGCACACTTCGCGATTATGCATGGTGAGCGCGCTCAAGAAGCCACGACCACCATGCTTCCGTGACAAGTACAACCTCATTACCGACGATCTCGGATGATGCATCCTATGGGACGTCATGGTAGTGCGGACTTTTCTATCCAGGGCGTTAAGTTCAGTCTGAGTCCACCTGAGTATGCCAAAGGTATACATGAGGACAGGCATGACCCAGCCGTTATATGCGTGTGCCTTATTCACACCGGACAAAAGGCTGTTAAGCACTTTGGTCAAGCGTGCATAAAACACGTCGCAAACTGACTGTTTCATACCAGTCTCATCGATACCGATGTTTTGTGACATACCCAGGTATCGGTATGTTTCAGCCTCGGAAAGGGTCCTTAAGTTGACGGGCATAGATAAGTCTACGCCCTCAGAGTTAGCAACCCTTCCCCTTTCAACATGGAGGACCGCACACTTATCCGTCCCAAGCTCCATTCCAATGGAATTGCTAAATTCACAAGTGATGTTTAGCAATTCCATAAGATGGGAGCGACTGGAGGCGAATAACTTGAGGTCATCCATATAGAAAAAGGTGGGTCACTTTTGTCCCTCCTCTTCGTAGCTGAAATCCCCTCCCGGAGCCCTCCAGTAAGGTACTGAGAGGGTTCAGAGAGAGGCAGAACCAGATTGGACTCAGACAATCGCCCTGGAAGATACCCCTTCTTATCCTTATGTGGTTCTCCGCAGCCATCATCCGCTCGCCCAGATGACAAAGGATCGTACTCCACTGCCCCATACACTGCTCAAGGAAGTCTCTAACTGTACAGTCTATCTTGTACAGCTCGAGGACTCTCTTTAGCCATGTATGGGGCACCGAGTCGAATGCCTTTCTGTAGTCTATCCAGGCGGCGGAGAAGTTCCGACGGTTGCGTTTCACCACTTTGCCAATGACCGCGTCAATGAGGAGTGGTTCCTTGGTTCCACGACCACCGCCCCGACATCCATTTTGAGCGCGCGACATCACCTGATTTGAGTCCAGGTGACAAGTGATTCTCGCGCTCAAAATTGATGTTAGTGTCTTGTATATGGTCGGTAGACACGTGATGGGGCGGTATTTGCTCGGGTCTGTGGTACCCTGGTCTTTAGGAACCAAATGAGTGATCCCAGTAGTGAAGAGGCTTGGGAGCGACTTCTGGTTGAGAGCCTCTTGAAACTGTCGGGCAAGCACAGAGTGACACACCATGAATCCCTTCAGCCAGTAGTGATGCAGCCCGTCAAGCCCCGGACTTTTCCAGTTCGGGGCCCTACGGACAGCCTCAGCTGCGTCATCCGGCGTTATGATGACGGGGTCCATGGGCGTAATACCCGCACACTGACTCGCCACAACTTCCGTCCAAGGGCCCTCGCTGTGATTTACGGGCTCTGACCACAGGCCGCGCCAGAATGCTACAGTGTCGGCCTGATTCGGTGCTGGACCCGTTCCACTTACCATTGGTCGCTCCAATGATTCATAGAGCCTCTTCTGATCACTCTGGAAGAGACGATTCTGGTTGAACCGTGTCGACCTCTCGGTATATCGCCGAATCCGCTTTCCCCAAGCAGCGATTCTCTGCTTCAGATCATCTATGCGCTCCGTCAGTTTTTGCGTTATATCCGGCTGGGACAAACTGACATTTGTCCCAGCAAACGCCATCCTGACGGTGCGCACAATTCTTGGCCTGTTGTTGCCTGATCTGAAGCATATCAGTCTGCCGATGAGAGCTCTAGCCTTTGCGATACGTTCCTCAATTCTTCTTCTCCATGCTGGGATAGCGCTACTATGGCCAGTAGCGCGTCCAGCCGTGGAAACCTTGGCGCCTATGATACGGCAGACTGCCAGCGCGGCGCCAAAAAGAATTGAGTCCGTCTCGCAAAGGTCCCGGCTGGCTTCCAAATAGGTCACCAGCATTGGGTTCAGAGCCCTCACGACAGCCCGATTCCGCTTGCTTAGGGCTATGCGGGGAAGTCGCGGTCGATTTTCGAGAGGCGTACTGCGCGTTTCCACAATCGCCTCTTCCAATGTACTCCTCATATGCTCTAATTCCAGTTCCTGGGCGACTGTTCCATCATCGTTTGAATCAACCACAACTGGGGTATTCACGGCGGCATCCACGTTTGCGGGTTGCTCTACCATTTGTGGCGCCGCATCCTCAGCCGTAGCATTCTCATCCGACGAGGGAACAGCCTCACGTGGTAGCCGTTCGAGTTCGGCGACATCAAATATATTTGAGCGCAAGATATACCGAACTCGGTCTGCCAGGTTTTGCTCTGTGACGGTTAAAGATGGCTCCAGCTCAGCAAAAAGACGATGCATCCTAGCCCGATACGCCAAACATCCAGCCCCCTTTCGCCCTAAAATACGCCCGCAATGCGTTGCTGTTCATCTGGGTTGTCCAACGCATGCGGCGTACTCCACCAGAGGCGGGTGCCGATTGCTCGACACCAAGCCAGCTGGTGGGGATGATGGATGCGAGGGGCTGCTGGGTGGTCGTGCAGCACCTCGCGCTCGGCTGGCGGTTCGCATGCTGCCGCGTCCAGCGCCAGCTCCAGACGCGCCCTGGCGACCTCCAGGCAGCAGCCCTTTGAGCGTTCTTCCGTATTCCATCATCCATAGTGGTGGGCGTCATTTAGCGGGAGACGCCCAGACCCGGCACCGTTTCATGGTGAGGCCATGTGCACAAGCGGGCCTTTGCACCTTCAATTTTTGCCGAGGCACGGCACTAACACCTCTTGGCAAGGTGCTGACTGACTGCGCTGACGTAGCGGTTTTGTCACATAACCGTTACGTCAGCGGGCGATGGGGTCGTCACTTCCCTACGCCTTTTAATTATTATTATTATTATTATTATTATTATTGAATGAATATGGATCAACGACTTCGTGGCGCAGTGGCTTAGAAATGAGATGCAGTGCTGGGGGCCGTGGGATCGAATCCCGCACGGAACAAGTATTTGTACAGGTTACAAATTTATATTTATAAACTGCCTCCATGATACAGGAGAAAATCCTAGTGTGGAGTAACATTTAAAAATAATAAGAATCAAAAACATAAAAACATGTGTAAATATATCTTATCATAATGTTTCACATACCTTAAGAAAGTCTCCTGCAGTCATAGAGAAATTGTAATTTGGTTTGTCAGCAGAAGGTTTGACATCAGGGAATGTGGCGGGACGGAGCTGGTGTTCACATGTTACATTGTTTACGTACTGATGTAACCATGGATGAACTGTATGCATATTCACCTGTAAAAGTAAATTTATTTATATTGTTGTACATTGCCGTAACTTAGCAGCGTAAATGAATGTATCTCACTTCATTCCTTGAGCATTGTAGGAGGTAACTATGAGAAATGCCAGAAAAAATTTATATCCTCCGATAGACAGCGGTAAAAATCGATTCTATTCGCCAAGCGTAAAAAACTCAAATCGGTTACAAAAAAATAGCGCAAAGGGTGCGGGACGTACCTACCTAACTGTTACTACGTCATGGACTTCTCCCGTTATGGAAAGGATTTGCTTTAAATAAATTTTTCTACTTTTAAGAATATAAGTAGTTTGGTTCATTCAATTCAAATCTTATTATTATAAAATATAAATAACTAAGAAATATTAACCCTTAAAACTTTCCTTACAAATTAACTTCTTAATTCTAAATTAACTTAAAATTAACTTCCTCACTATGAAATCAGTCAAATATTTCATCTCATTCCAAAAAACGTCACCCTGGTGGCAAAAAAGTCGTGTATTCTCTTATTCTCACGTTTGGCAAGTGATTATCGATGCAATACCAGTCGTTGCGCACTAGTCTTGTGTAGTTCGCGAACGAGGAAACTTAGCACTGTACTATGGTTCATAAAAGATAGCTTGATCTCTGCGACAGCTGTCAGTAAAATCACGCCTATGAAGTCCTAAATTTCTTAGTAGTACAGACAGTACCTGTCAATGTCATACTTTATGGGCATGCCGACCTATAGTTCGGCCGTTCAGAGAATGCGTTCCTGACACGTCGCGATTGAACTGACGACGTAACTTTGTAATGGCGTTGCAGTTACGATAAAAATATTTTTGCTGGTTGTTTACCGTTTTAACAATTGATGCGCATTAAAACAACATTATTATATTTGTAGTGCTGTGCTAAAAATAACAGGCAATAACAGTATCGTAATCTGTTCTTATACAGTTATACTTTATAAAATAATACGTTTTGTTTTTCTTTTTAAGAATTTGAAAATAATGGACTATAAGATAAATTTTATTGAATATAAAAATAAAAATACGACCAAACCGAACGCGCGAAAGAAAGTAGCATTTTTATATTTAGGTTGAAAATGGTAACCCCAAATGGCGTTATGGGGGAAGTCACAAGAGATGACTGGGCAAAGGTTGTTGCGAAGACTAAAAACCTGATTGTGGAACATTTTGACCGAGATATCAGGATTGATTCTGTTATTGATAATAATATAATTATACACGTAGTCGCCTATAGATGATGATGAAGACACCACCTCCTCAAGCGAATCGGAGTCTGATTAATATTCTGTACGCACATTCAATTCAATGTACTTTATTGCATAGAAATACAGATTGTAACTTTGTAACAAAGAATAAATAAAACAATTTTATTATATTAATATTACCTTTTTTTGGTTTCCACTTAAATTACTAAAATATAAATTTTAAATGATTCCGCCAATTTAAAACGAAAATAATGTTAAAAATAACGCGGCGGTTCATTTTGGAGGAACGGTAACGAACTCAGTGTTATGTTGTGCCCATTACTGGTCGTGACTAACTGATAGGTGTCAGGAACGCATTCTCTGAACGGCTGAACTATAATTAGTGCATGCCCATGAAGTATGACATTGACAGGTACTGTCTACCACTAAGAAATTCAGGACTTCATAGGCGTGATTTTTACTGACATCTGTCGCAGAGATCAAACTATCTTTTATGAACTATAGAACAAACGTTTCCGATCGTTTATTGTTAATCGGTCTAATAGCTCTTTTCGTACACCTACATTCGCAAGACGCCAGAACGCGCGTGCGAACGAGAACATACGAAAGTGAGTGAACGAGAGAATCGGTGAGACGTTGTGTGGTTTTACTGTGATGCTTTCGCCAGCGCGGTTGATAAGCGTCGCGGTCCACGAGCATGGCGTCTCTTAGATCGTTACATAGTTTAACCAACACGTGTAGCGGCAATTCAGCCGCGTGTTTCAACAGTAAACGATTTAGAGAACGCGCCTCTCAGCATCTCTCTCTCTCTCTTTCAAAATCTAGTAGCGTTGTAAGGATGTACTTGTATACGTCATCGTCGTTGCCTTTTTTTCCATATGTAATATAGAATAATAAATGCGAGAAGTCTCATCACGACAAACCGATCAAGACTGTACGAGGCAGCAAACCGCGCGACTCTAAGCTGGTTTTATAGTTTCGAGCGGGTCATCCGCGCGCTTACGGGCCACGCTTACCACCCGCGCTGACGGTAAGCGTCACTGTAAAACCACAATTAAGATTAGACGTTAGTTAAGTCAATGCAATAACGGCTCATTTAGCTTATCATCCGAAAAGATGCAAGACTCATTGTGTTCGCAAATTATTGTACTTATTATATTTAATAAATAGATACAAACAAACATTTGATAGATTTCGTTTCGGCACTTGCGATCGCGTAAAAATTTAATAAAATTGAAGTTATGTTATTGAGGAGAGTTTTATGTTTTTTATCATCGTTTTAAGATTCGTTTCGTCCTTGGATGCTTTTTATTTTCGCATGTTATGGTTATGGATTTTAGTTTACTAATGCTAATTATTTTGTCAACACTAATTTGCTTTAAACCTATAATTTGACTGTGCGTGCGTGCGTGCGTGCGTGCGTGTGTGTGTGTGTGTGTGTGTGTGTGTGTGTGTGTGTGTGTGTGTGTGTGTTGCGTGCGTGCGTGCGTGCGTGCGTGTGCTTGTGCGCGTGCGCGGTGTGTGTGTGTGTGTGTGCGTGTGTGTGTGTACGAGTAATCAAACAACATTACGATTCGAGCAAATATCGACCGACTGAGATAGCCATTTCATATATACAGATACCTACAGTTAAAACTGCTTAGTAGTACTGATGACCGAATAGAGTTAGTAGAACTAATAGAACGAACTAGTTCACTGTCCGACATGAGCCGAGCAGGCACAAGACAATTTCGCACATTTGACGCTGCTTTTCAACACTATACTACTTATTTTATACCCGGCGTAAGCGAGATTGTTATCCGCCATCTTTCGGAAGCCGTAAGATCTTTCTAGCACATGCCATTGTCGCCCTTACGATATATTCTCTTACGCTGTCACCACACAACCAATATACATACACACACAATAATAGCATTATGTTGAATAAATTTAGCTTTCGTGTCATACCATACACGCAAAATTATAATGAGTAAAAAAGTACTTAATAAATCTTATGCTTATCATTATTTTTTAAATTTGAACTTTTTGGCAGGCAATGTCAGCCATATTTATTTTATCATCATTAAAATTCATCAACAAAATATAACACGGTCCTGAATCACCTTCTGTCTATTGACTTCCTGCATGCATTTATTTTATGATTATTTTAAATTGATAATTTTGTTATCAGCGCAATTATGTAAAATATTGTCAACTCTAAAAAAGAACAGGATATCTATCAGCTGTGAAATCTCAATTGGGACTGAATCTTAAATGAAACTTACCTCAGGACAACGGTTGAGTACAAAGTTGCTAGCGAAGAGCATAAATAGAGAAAACTCATTTCCTTGGCACATGTAACCTTTGTTAGCGATCTCCCACGCAAGACGTCCTAGCCCTGCTCCTGGGACTAAGACCTTGATCTGTGATCTGTCACTGTAAAAGATTTAACAATTCAAGTTATTTTCCAATTCAATTTAGCTGAAATTGGAAAATAGCATACAAAAAAATATGAGGACCACCACTCAGGTTTGATTCTTATGCAAGACATTAGCTATTTTTTGAGTCAGAATGTTAACCTCAATCATTTTAACCCTTACCCTATAATATCGAACACAAAAATCCATAATAAAAAGCTATTACATAACCAATTTGAGATTTTTTATAATCTTTCTAAGTTGTCCATTTTACACTAATATATAAATTATGACAAATTCTTCTATATATGTATAAAGCATACCTAAATTCTTCAAGTGGAAAACGTGCCTCCAACTCATTCAATATGGGCTGGTAGCATTGTTCTCGTTCAGGCACACCTACTGCACTCCAGTCTCTTACTATATTTTTTAACACTGACTGTACCTGATGACAGTAAACATAATCAATCAAAATTTTCAACTTTGTATATCACTTGCAGTTACACAAAGTTATTTTTTGTACAACTACAAGTGTCTTGTTTCGGAAAAAGTAAAAGAGAAAGTAAAAATCCTCAACTTCTGTCCAAATTTGCATTCTTCATAATGTCCTTTAAATATAAAAAATCTCTCATATAAAATCTCAAATACAAGACAGAGAACAGGCAAGAAACTGCGAGATTTTTTTTTATTTAAAGTTTTATTACAGGTTCATTTTCAATTGGACCATGTTGTGCAAAAATGATCTAACTCACAAACTAGACAAAATAATGACCGAGGGGCTCTTTTTTAGTTTATTTAACAATATGAAAGACATCTGAAGAATTCCAAAGTAATCCCAAAATCTATATTCAATTTTCTTTAAAAATGATAGCTGTAAATTATATAACAGTGCTTATGCCACAAGACAAATACATTTTTCTTTCAAATCTAAATAACATTATATTTTTGTGGGTGGAATCATTTCTGCATAACAAAGTCCAATAATAACTTTTAATGAAGTAATTTTTAAAATATCAGTTTTAACAAAATAATATCGGTAGCCAGGAGACTCACTAGTGCAGAGTAAGAAACATTTCTGCACAAATTCCAAAAAATTATAGACTTTTATTAATAAATTTGTCATAAGTTTATTTTTTAATTTTGTATTCTATTCTTTGCACTTTATTTTAAGTACCTATAAGGATCAGTGGAATCACAAAAGAACTACCTTAACTACAATGAACCCAAGTCACAAAGTACGATGATTGGAGGATACATTACCAGTATGATTGTAATGGCTATTGTAATATATAATATAGACAAATCTTTAACATGAAAAGCAAGCATCATTTGTAGAGTAGGCTTAAAAAAACTGGTAATGAATAAAAATGATCAGGTCATGCTAGAATTAAAATAAAATTCTTGTTAAACATTTTTCTTAGTTTTGTAATTATCAATAGTAAGTAGTGTCAATGGAGACTGGTTTTTACTTTGGTTTTGTATGTGACCCTTTATCTACTTGTAATATTATTTATTTTGTTTAGTGTAAATTGAGAACAAAGTGAATAACCATAAGGCAGAGTAAATTATGTCATCTTGAACATGTTTGTGTCATAAAACTTACTTTTTCAACATCATGCTGCATTTTATGTTGTTTAAGTGATGTAATTTCACAATTGTTATAATTGCAACCAAAACATTCTGTGCCGTTGGTTCCTGATGTATCTGCATTACTATGATCAACATTCTCAAACATTGTATCCACATCCTTAATAATTAGATGTACTACACTATTGTTAATGTCAAGACATTTTTTAAACTTAGCTAGATAAGTCTTGTACTTTTCTAAACGCCTCTGATGGTTGTGTGGAAGCATGGATATAATTTTTTCTGATTTATGTAATCTCTCCAAACCACATAATCTAAAATAAAACAAATTGTTAAACAATTTGTAAATAACAACGTAAGTGTGTTGGAACATAGGTAAGATCGGGTTTTTCTGTAAATATTATCTCCAATATTTTGTAAAGTATAAATGTAACAGTGTTTCTAAGTAAAAGCTACATTTTAGATTTTAGTTGCATTATGTAAAAAGTTAGGTTTATTAAAATAAAATTGCAAAACATTGCAAGCTAATTTAAAGATTGATATTCCTAAAACTAAATTTAATTGTTACATATTATGGTTTAAGTGACCAAAATAATTTTATAAGGTATCGATGCAATACCTACATTAAAAACTAGGTACATGTGTACTCAATATACTTATTTTACTAAATTGCATACTAAGCATACCGTGAATACCTGAATATTGAGTTCATATTTTTTGGTAAAAGGGCTTAGAAAAGACATATTAAATACCCAAACATTAAAATACAGAAATCCAGTTTATGAGAAAAAATGACAAAAACGTAATATAACTGACTGACTGTATAAGAAAAACTTAAATAAACAGATTGAAATAAACAGGTGACAAAATGTTTCATTCAGGAATTTAAATAAGTCAAATTTGATGAATGATCCATTTTAGAATGATTTTTGTCAAATAACCACTCAAGCGTCCACGGTGACTGTAGTCCCCACAAAAATTCTCGCCTTCCCTGTCCATGGTGACTACAGTCCCCGAATGACATTGTTCGGTAAAAATGTGTACAGCGCTAATGACAGATATTAATAATACAGTAAAAAAAATAAGAGATTGTGCTATTTGAAATTTGTCATCTATGTGTGAATTTTAGCTGTGCAATGGCAACAAAATAATCAGAAAAAAATGTGAAAGTAACAGTTCGCCATTCCTGTTTGTGGGCTGTTAGTGTGTGGAGCCTAATCAAAAATGTGATAATCTTTCTGTTTTTATATGTTATTTCTTATGCAATTGTACATCAAATAAACTGTTAAGATATTTCCTTTAGGAAATATATGTCATTGCGACAGTTCCACAACATTTACATATAATAATTTAGCTCGAAACTATATGCAATCACTGTTTTTGATTTTACATTATTTAAAATGTATTCTAATTGGTTTTGTTAAATAATCGCTAAATATAAAACAAAACTTTACCATTTACACATTAATAACCATTTATAAAAGAAATATGTTGAGATGGGTCTGGAAATTATTAAATGCAACTCATGCAATTCGTAATTGCATTGGGGAGTGAATATTTATATTGAGTAACAATTATATATTTATATATACAGAGTAAATAATATTGAAATATTAGTGTTATTATAAAGGGTATATCATTTAATATTATAATATAAAATAATTGTCTACAGTAACTATTATATTTTTTTGTAAAACTTGAAATAAAAATAAATATGATAATTTTTTTGATATTCCCAATTTTAATCTTTATTTTCGTCCTTTATTTTTAATAGCAATTTTGTTTTAACAAAATCAAATTTTGAATTTTTTGAGCTTTTCATGAATATTTTTTATTTGAATGGTGCTATATTAGTTGTTCAGTAGTAATCGTTTTTGTTGAGTGTCTTGCACGGTCGTAAAAACGAAAGTGACATTTAATATGAGGACAGGTGGGACGAGAATCACTCGCACGGGTTGGATGGTTGAGTGGTTAACAATAACAAAATAGTAAACTGAAGACCATTTGCCATGTACAACGCCACCTACTCTTTTCTTATTCATTCACCATTTGTACCTGTTATGTTGTTGCCATGTTTTTAAAAAACAATTGTTTATATTAATTTATAAATAATTAAATGGCCATTAAAATTGCTTATTTCTGTTAAATTTGTCAAAAATACAAAATATATATTTTTAAATTATACTGAGCCATTTAAAATCAAATTTCATACAGATCAATTGCAATTTGACAACTGCCCAAATGCAACTGCTCATTTAGCCATTTTACTACTCCATCAATTTTTCTAACATGTATTTTTTATAGATAGACCATGAGTGCTGTAAAGCGTTCGAAATGTACCCAACATTTCGAACGCTTTACAGCACTCATGGTTTAAAAAGTTAAATATGCGATAAATTCCGTAAAAACTAGTATTATTTCAATGTGTAGTGTTCGCGTAAATATAAGAAATCACTATATATCAGGATTTGTCCTGACATGTCAGGACTTTTAGAGCCCTTGTCAGGATTGCGTCCAGATTTTAGGAATGTCAGTAATTTTCATTTTTCATGTGAGTTTAAAAAAACAATAATTGCTTTATATATTTTTACAGTAGTAAACTTTTTTTATAGAATAAGGGTGACAAACAAGCACACAGTCTTCCTGATGGTAAGTGGATGCTTATACCCATAAGCAACTACATTTATCCTCGATTAAGAAGCAAAACGCAGATGCGTTGTCACCCCTGAGGATTAAGATCAAATGCCTCATTTCTAGTGAAAAGGGTCTCTGCTTCTCTACACAGAAACATTAAGCTACTATTTTATGTTGGTATTATGTGGGAGGGTCATCCTACCCCAGTCAAGCCAACCTATTTGTACTACAATCATAATATAGCCATCTGCATCGTAGCTCTACCACATAAAAATTAAGTATCAAAGTATTTTTATGAGTTAATTAACTTATTTTAATATTTGTAAATTCTTATTTTATTTTATTTTTAATGCACACTTTCTACCACTCAACTTGTAAATGATCATTCATTTTATAATGCCATCCTTCAAAAAATCTCGAAATTTATGCTTTTCTTTGGATTTTAATTCCCTTGGAGGACACTCCTCCTCACTTTCCACTTTTAAGAGATTTTTTGACAACCTCGAATATAAATTATTTTTCTCAAAAACTGACTCACAACACCCTCTCTTCATCGAAGCCTACCTTTAGTAGTGCTTTCGAGCTTTGTAAGATTATATCCCTTCACATGAAAATATTGGATAGTGACTATATATTATTTAGGATTAAACAAACAAAATAATTGGATTTGCTTGATAAACATTCAAAACACCAATGGCATTAGAGTCAAAGTTCCACAAGTTTATTAGATAAAAACAAAGCTTATTGTTATATCTAAATAGGTTAATTGTATATAACGAATCAAATAGAACAAAGACTAGTTGCTATGCAAAGAAGTCTTTGTTCTAAAGTTAAAAATAATCTACGGAAACTTTTCTAGGTGTACACGTATACCATATGCAATTAATGTTGTAAATTGGGTAAATATTAAATATACTTACTTATAATATTTAAAAGCGGTAACTACAGCTCTAAAATGGGCACGCTCTTTTTCTTCATCTATCTCATCCGCGGCTGATGGAGAATTCATATTAAAATTAGTTAAATAAATTTATATGAATAAGAAAAAGATTAAACTTATATGGCCAGTAAAAAATGGCAATTTTTAAATTTATTTCCTGAACTAATTCAACAGATCTCTACAGCCATTAACAGCCAAATTACCAGCCAGCCATTACCAATGACAATGACCACTATCATCCATCAGCTTGACATTGACAGCTTATGTTGTAGTCAAAGAGTCAAAGAGTATACCATGAAGGTTAGAGAACAGGAGAACGATCACCGTAGAAAATAGTGTCCCAGAAATATGGACACCATCAGTGAGGCGCTGAGATCACTAAGTGCAGCCAATAAAAGTCATTTTCAGTGCATTTTTCCGATCAGATGCTCAACTACTTGCACATCCACGCACAATAAAATATTTATCCATTTTTTAATGTTTCTTTTTGTCAAAAATACAAAATTACGGAGCATGAAAATTTTCTACGAAAAAATGAAATGAAAATTTGTACATTATTCAACTAACTTCACCTACTTGTACTCATAAACAGCTAACTTCGCAGTCACTACTCACCGACGTCAGCGCCGCTATATATTCTACAATTTTCAAGGACAGGCGGGCTATGCTTTAGTACGTATGAATCCCTCATATATCCCCCCCTCCATTTCATCAGACATACGACAAACGAGAATAATAATAAATAATATAATAAAGTAAAACGAGATAATGGTAAGGAAAGAAAATATCAGATTAAAATCATTCTATTAACTAAATAGCGTTATTCTAACCTTAAAACTTTAACCATGAATATCTCCGTAACCATGGGGTTCCGCAGGGGGGGGATGGCACAGGGGGGTAGCCCTCCAACCTCCTCCCACCCGTAAAACCTCATATATCATTTATAACTTTGAGTTTAGCATGTGCGAAAATGGGGGCACTCTCCCTCCGCGCCTCCGAGCTCTTATGTACACTCTAGGGGTGGGGCAGACAAAACCACGTGGATAGTGGGGTGCTCTGTTCAGTTTTGGGTACTTTTTGGATGTTAAATAAGTAAGTAAACACTTTATTGTAGTAAGAATTAGATACAGATAAGAATACAGAAAGTTGCAAACAATGAAATACAAGTACAAAAGCTGTACTAATTAGGAAATACAAACAAGTTGCATAGGTAGGTATCGATACTTTAAAAATTTTCGGAACCCTACACTAATTGAAACGTGAAGTGATTGACGTTTGACATCAATTACTTGTCAAATTTATTTTGTACTTGCTTGTTATTTGGCAATTTGTATGAAAAGTAAAAAAATATATATATCTCATGAACCGTCAGTTTCCGCAACCTACTTTGCAAAACGCTTTCTTTTAGTGAGTAATATCTACAAAAAAATTACGGACATTTAAATCGATGGTCCATATTGGAAAGTTTATCAGAAATTTGGCGCAAGCCGCAAACAGCGATCACACGTTGGCCGAGTGTTCAGTTTATAGTTTCGCATCGGAGTAGACTGTAGTGTCGGCTTAATAAAATTGTTTCACGAACATGGTGACATGGACTAATGAGAAAATATTTATGTTTATTGATTGTTATCACAATGAATCAGTTATATGGAACCCTAAACATGAGCAACATAACACATGTTTAGTTGCGATTTCAGAGTACCTACCAAATGATAATTATTATTATAAATTATCTCTGAGTTTATGTTGTTAAGAGATAATGTAGCTTAGGGACTTCTTTTAGGCCATTTTTTATTTTGAAAAAATGCCTAGCGATACGGGCATGGTTCAGCTAGTAGATCCTATAAGGGTTTCGTTTTGAGGTCGGAAACCTAAAAAGGACTAACTGAGATTATTGTTGTATGTAATGTTTTTTTTTTTCAATCGCCTTAACGTCCATCTTCATTCAGCAACGCAGAATGAAACACGCCAACGTATAAACGGCTCCACGAAAATCTGCCAAGAGAGCTCGCCGAGCGCGCTCGGCCGACGTGCTTACTACCCGGTAGTAAGAAGTTAGAGTTAGTTAGTTAGACTTATTACTTCTAACCGACACGAGCATCGGTAAAGTCTCTTTGTTAATCCTCTTACTACCCGGACAATGTAGAGGTAATAAAACAACACAATACAATTTGCAAATTATTTTTTTTATTAAATTAATTTTTTAATAGTTAAGTTTTTTTTTGAAAAATGTTATTTCTATACGTTTGAATACTGATTCTGATAACGCACTTAGCGGGAACAACAGGGTTTTTGTTACATGTGGTATATACAATCACACCAAAAGCATAGACTGGGTTTCATGAGTTCACCAGGACTAGGGTTACCATATGTAAATAGAGGGATGCCTGTCTATGGTACATAAAATGCCTGAATTTTCAGAAAAATGTCTGTCTAAAGTAAAACGCTGTAGGTAATAAGTAAAAGCCAACAGATAATAATGAAAAAGGATATTTATTACTGATATTTGTCAGAGGACATTATTTTTTTTAACAGTTCTTTCTTTTCTAATACGTAAACGTAAAAATCTTCACAAGATACAGTTTTATAATTTTCCTGAGTAACCAATGTTGCTTTTACCGATTCAATTGTCAGCCGATTTCTTTCTTTACTCCACTGGGCGTTGACGAAAGAAAACGTACGTTCTACGTTCGCATTGTGTGCCATAATAGAGAACACAAACTGGCAGATTTTCATGAATTCTGTAATTTCACCATTCACTTTTGAGAAAATTGCACCACTGTGTAGTTAAGCTTTCATAAAAAAAATGTATCTGAACTTCTACAATATTCTTTTAGAACTTCGTATGCGTCAAACAGTTTCACGTCGTCAACACTGATATTCAGCTTAGAGAGAAATTCTACAGATGAAGCTAAATCAGAATTTGAGAAACTTTTCATTTCTTTTTGAAAAATCGTCCACCGGAAGGAAAAGAATTCTTCGATATTTTTCATCCATTTTTCCAAATAAGCTGTTAAATCCGCATACAGGCCCATAATCTCGGTTTTAAAATTATCGGTACTTATTCCGTTGTTTTCCAAAGTGTTCAATAGTCGAATAACTGTCAATGATTTAAAATTTTTATCTTTACGAGATTTGAGTGCATTTAAAGTTGCGTTTAATATACAGTTAATTTCTACAATAGTAACATCTTCTTTCTCAATAGCTTGAATTTTAGATTGAAATAGAGGCATTAACTAGTGAATATGCCATAAATAAATCTCTGAGAATGGGTTCTCAAAAAATCGTTTGATCACTGTTGAAGTACCTTCGACAGATAAAAAATACTCTTTTAATGCTGGGATTAATTTCAGGATCCTTTCTATTGCTGAAAATAAACTCAGCCATCGTGTTTTGCTGTGGTATAGCAGTTGCTGATATTGTATTTCAACAGCATCGCAAAATGATTTTAACTTCTCTGTGCGAACTGTGTAGACTGAGAAATAATTATAAATTTTCATCAACGTGGACTCGATGTCTATTTCCAATTTATCTGCACCGCGTCTAATACAATTATGCAGTGTATGGGCAGGACATCCAACGCCTACAATTTGCTTTTGGAGTTCTTGTTTCAATAATACAAAAACGTTTTTTCCGCCTGTTGGCCTATTAATGCCACCAAAATTGACGTTGGCATTATCAGCAGTAAAAGAAACTATTTTTTGTTCAATCCCGTGTTTTTTCAAGGTGTTGACAATATATTGCGTGATTGTTTCGGCAGTTTCGTTTGGCAATACATTGAGTTCTAAAATTTTAGTCTTTATTCCGCCATCGCGATAATCAAAATATTGTATTACTATTGGAAACATTTTTTGAGCTCCGTGATTGGCATCAATTTATTAACCAAAATATAATACTGAATCAGATTTCAATGTTTCCATAAAACCTTCCATTACATTGGGGAAAATAACATTGTTAACAATTGCTTCGGTTTTTTTCCGGGCGCAGGTTATCGTCTTTCCCAACTCTGAGTCAGAAAATAATTTCCTCAGTAATCCTCCTGTGCAATCCATCCATATACGACTGGTGATGTCTTACAGTATGGTAAGCCAACGTAGCTTCTGCAGCGGCTTTTCTTTCCGAAATAATATTTAGGGTTGGTTTGAAAAATGTATTCATCTTACTATTGGAAAACACTGCTTTGGACATTTTCTTATGTTTTTCAGATTCCATGTGTCTTTGCACATCCTTGATACCTCTAGAACCAAAACTAAAATAACAGTCGCATACCTTACACTTAGCTTCCGACTCATTGCGGCCATCCACGAGACAAGGAAATTTACTTGCTATAATCTCCGAAAACTTACAAAGTTCTCTTTTTATTATCCATTGTAAAACAATAAAACAAATTGAAAATCACAACAATCTAACACACCATAGCTTAGAAGCTAACTGATTGAACTAATCATGCAGACTAAATATTGTTTTTCGTTCATGAAGTAAACAAATAATAGAACGCTCTCATTGGTGAAGTGGTAGGAAACACCGACGCCCGTCCCGCTCCCGCCCATGCACCGTAGCTTATCCTCTCTCTCATTCTCGCGCCGCCTCGACTACTACTACGCATGCGGTTCTACTACGCATGCGCTACCCGCGAGCGCCTCTCGCGCCGCGTTGCTAACCTCTGCGCCGCCCGCCATTGTCATTCAAATTTCGCGCCCGCTTGCATGTACGCAAGCGCAATGCGCGCTTGGGCGCGAAATTTAAAAATGCCCGTCTCAGACCAATGCAGGCCGCATGCCTGTCTAAACCGTTAAATGCCTGTCAAATGCGGCAAACGTCTGTCATATGGTAACCCTAACCGGGACTGCAGTTGGCATCGCAGCGCCGGCCGGCAAAAACAGCGCATTCAATAGCTCGTAAGTCCTCCCTTACGAGTATATTTCGAAGAAACTGTGAAGACCGCAGGATAAACAGCATACACTTTAAAGCAATGGCTATACACTGCGACATAATGAGTAAATTTGATTTTCGCAATTTTGGCGCTGATAGCAGTAATGAGCAACCGTGGAACTAATAATAGACAGACA